GGAAGTGGGGGAAGGAAGCGATTCATCCCTTCCATTGTTACCGGGAGCTCCTCATATCGGATGATCCGGTGGAAGTGGGGGAAATGATCGCCGCTGCAGGGGAGGGAAGCGAGGTAGTCGCGGTAGAAGGAGGAAAGGGTGCGGGAGAGCGCCGCCCGAAATATCTCGAAGTGGCGGCAAGCGGGGATTGTCCCAGTGGCGACGCAGTAAACCTCTACCACGTTGCATCGCTCCCATGCAGCGCTAAACAGCAGGAGGTGCCAGCAGAACGTGGGGACAGCAGATTGAAAGGAGGCGTGGGGGTGGACGGTAGTGAGTAGACGGGTAGAGTAGAAGTCGCGGAAGAGATGGGGTGGAAAGGATGGGAGGGGAAGGTGACGGGGGTACGGATCTGCTCGAGGGTGAGGAAATCAAGGGGTCAGCGGGACAGTGTTCGAGGACGAAGGCCTATCGCCCGCATTGGTATGTGGGCGAACTGGGGGACGGGTGGGGCTGGGGGAGGAGAGGGATCGGCTCCGTCTCCGTCGCGTGGTACTTGAGGTGGCGGCTGCGGGGTCGCCATCTTCGGGCTTCGGCGGCTCTGGATCCCTGGTCGGATCGTTGCCGATGCGCAGGCTAGCTTGGCTGGCGAACTCCAGTTGGCGCTTCCCGGTGGCAATTTCTTTGCGCCTTCGCGCCGCTTCCGGATCTTCCGCCTCCGTTCTCGTGCGCGTCGCTTCTTCCGGCAAGGCTTCCCACTCGGACCCGGCTTCTTCTTCTTCTTCTTCCTCACTCAGCTCACCCTCGCTATGTTCACTATAGCTTCCCTCCTCCGATGTTTCCTCGTCGTCGTCTTCCTCTTCGTCGTCGTCGTCGTCGATCACCACTTCCTCTGCCCTCGGATAGAAGGCGTGAGGGATGATCTCGTACGGCTTCAGATATTCCTGCTGTGATGGTAACGTATCCTTGTCCCTAGGTTCCTCCAAGCACGCGGTCCACTGAAGGCACGGGTCCAATGATCGCTCGAAAATGTACGGAGCAGGATTGTCGTCACTCTGAAAATAGATGTCGAGCGAGAGATCGTCTGCCAATTGCACGATTGGTGCGATAAGCTCCTGCGCAATCAGGTGGCGTCGACCCGGCTGTACCGATTTGAAGAGAAAGCCAAGAAGATCTCCTTCCTCGATAGTCCTCCAAGCCTGTATGATCAGCAGCTCCGGATTCTCGATCCACGTGGGATGCTCACTGGTGCCCGTCCACGTCACCTGTACTCTGGCCAGGCAAAAAGACAGCTCCTCAAACGTTTCGCGCCACAACCGCCAATGTCCAGGATTGATAAGAGGGACTGAAAGAGGCTCGAATGAGAAGGAAAGGGAAGGGTGAAGATCGGATTGCTTAAAGGTGGGGAAGAGAGAGGGGAGAGCAAAGATAGAGAGAGGCGCGAGGAGATCGGCGTGGTTCATTGGGGATGTGGGAAGGGGACGAGGGCTGGGATCGCAACAGGCCGCTCGCGCGGTGATCGGCGAATATTGTCTAGATCCGATGTAAGGATCGGGATAATGTTATACCCTTGCCAGGCGAGGACGCGCTGCCACTCGTTGGACACTTGCTCCGCCCACGCGCATAGCGAGGTCAAGATCGCGGTATGCCACAACAGATTGACCGAGCTGATGTCGCCGGTGAATGCCGCCACCGTGGTGACGTGGCTCGTCCTGGGACCCGTTCGCCGATGAACTACTGTTACCTCCACAAATACCACTGCGTGAGGACTTCCTTCGATCCGAAACGCGGCGGCGGCACAGATACCATTGTCGCAGAAGAATCGCATCAGACGCCGAAGATCCGCATTGAGCCGAGGGTGACAAACTTGCCGAATCTCTGAGATGTGGCCACGTGGCTGCAACAGCTGCGCGTCAAGAACCCGCTCCGTGATAAAACTCATGGCGAGGTGGGAGAGGAGGACGAAGGACAAGAGGGAGAAAGAGGAGAGAGAGTTGGATCGTCGTCGTTCTCCTCGCTTTCCGAGGAGGAAGAGGGAGGAAGATCAGAAGGAGGAAGAAGACGGAGGTAGGAGGTATGTCGGACGATGGGGACAAAGCTATGGCTGGCACTAGCCTCAGGCACGATGCGCACTGTGTCGGCGTCGTTGGGTCCGAGTTCGACAACGCGAAAACAACCAAAGAACTTGGGAGCGAGTTTTCGGTCGCGTGCACGTTTACGTACCTGCACTAGGTCCCCTAATTTATATTGGTACTGGGGCCCAGCATTTGCATTCTGGGCCTCGTAGCTACGGACGTGCCTACCGTGGGCCAGTTCGGTCATCCTTTGCCTTTTTCGGGCTAGCTTCGGGACGGCCCGTTCCATTAATTCGGTGTACCTTTTGGCCTTGGCTTTTAGAGCTGCCCGCGTGTCTCTACCCCCTGCTTCGGCAATTTCCAAGTTACCCCGGTAATCGACACAGGGGAGGCTATTAGTTCGAAGCTGAAAGGGGGTAAACCCCGTAGACTCGTGAGGGGTGGCCCGGTGGATTCCGACGATCTGATATACGATCTCGCGCCACGGACACGTGTCGTGTGCCGCTAAGTTCCTGCGAAGGGCGGTTTTAATCATACGGTTGGCATTCTCGGCCAACCCGTTCGACTGGGACACGTGGGGTGCCGTGTGTCGGAGCGTGACACCCCTTCGCGCAAGCAGTTCCTCTACCTCACCTTTGAATTATGACCCATTGTCAGTTAGAATTTCTTCCGTATCTAGATGGGTATAGAGAAATTGTTCGAGGTACGTGGCTATTTCTGCGGCCTTTCGGGTCTTACAAGGATAGACTTCGATGTATTTGGAAAAATGGTGTATTAAAACTAACAGGATAGAATATTCACAGCGGTTTGGGCCAGGGGGCACGTCAATATCTGTCGTGTCCATACTGACTCGTTGGAAAGGACGCTCTACTTTCATTGGTACGATCGTGTTTGGTCCCCGTATAGGGGCGCAATCAGCGGCACAGACCCGAGAGGTAGCGACAATGTACTTGACATCATCTCGTATATTAGGTTCTGGTCTATAGTTGCCTCTGTGACACGTATTGCAAAATGAGCTGCCTGTTCTTCGTGAGTGGATCGGATCCAATCGTATCTCTGGAAGGGATGGGGAACCGTCAACCACGAACCGGATCCGTCTGTTTTACGCTTTTCCAAATGACCGTTGATCCATCGATAGTCCCGAGATCTCTCGGTTGCCCTACGTCTGTCGTGTTTGGTGAGGTGGCCCAATGATAATCCCGCTAATTTTGCTAATAAAGTTTTATCCGTCCAGACCTCCGCTCGTCGGTATTTTTCGTCGTATTCAGGGCCGTCCGTACGGGCGACCTCGAATCGAACCTCCGTGGGGAGCTTGTTCGTTCTACACAGGGGGCACCTCCATTCCTTGCTACTCGTCCGATATCGAACGCAAACCCCATGCGCACAGTTGACACACGTGGCACATTCTACCCAATCGACAAATCCGGTCTCGAAGGGATGACAGTCGACCCCATAAACTCGTGCAATACACGTGCAAAAATAGCAGAACTTATCGGGGAGGGTGGCAAAGAAAGCGGAGTACGTGAGAGGGGCAGAATTAGTAGGAGATGAAGGGGTTGCGAAGGCGAGTGGGGTAGTCATGATGACAGAGGGGGAGAGATGGGACTGACTTGTGGATGGAATGGAACAGGCAATTAGTCATCGTGCCACTTACCGCTTCGACAAAATCTGCACTTGGTCGTACCGGGGTCCAACCTCCTGTTTAGGTTCGTTCCACGGAATCACCTCCTCATTCTTCGGAACTTTCTCAGGCCGGTGCAGCCGTGTCAGTTCGTCTGCATTCCCGTGTCTCTCATGCTTCCGATGACGAATGTCAAAGTCCATGCTCTGCAGCACCGTTGCCCATCGCCCGATCATGCCCAAGTAATCCTTCGACTTCTTCAGAGCCAACAGGGGTTCATGATCAGTCACCAGGGTGAATCTTCACCCGTACAGGTAAGCATGAAAGTGACTGATTCCCCAGAGAGCCGTATACCATCCACCCGTTGGAGCGGCGTAGTTGCGCTTGCAGGCGGGCACTGATTTGGACGCATACTCCACCACACTCTCGAGTCCGCTTGGTCCCACCTGGGCAAGGATCGTCGAAATCGCCTCTGGCTGCCAGTCAGTGATGAGAACAAAGGGTTTTTCGGGATCCGGTCTTATAAGGACCGGAGCCGAAATGAGAGCGGCCTTGAGTGTGGAAAATGCTTGATCGCATTCCGGCGTCCAAATCAACGGCTGATCCTTGCGCAGCAGATTTGTGAGGGGTCCCGCAATCGCCACGAAGCCCTTGATAAATCTTCGGTAGTACGAGGCTAGGCCTAGAAAGGCGCGAACTTGCGTGATAGTCATAGGCACCGGCGCGTCCCTAACAACTGCCACTTTTTGCGGTTCCGGTTGGAGTCCCTTGTCTGTCACCACGTGTCCTAGGAAGGAAATGGTGGTGAGGAAAAACTGACACTTTTCAAGTGCCACTTTGAAACCTGCATCTCGTAACGCATGCAGTGCCCATTCGACGTGTTGCACGTGTCCCTCGTAGGAACTTGAATGTACCAGGATGTCATCCATGTACACAATCACGCAGTAGTTGATGATGCTCTGCGCCAAAAGAGTCTTCCTCATGAAATTTTGAAAAGCCATGTTCATGGCCCGCTGAAAGGTCGCAGGGGCATTGCAAATACCCATTGGACATCGAATCCACTGCCATGTACCTTCGAAAAGCACGAACGTTGTTTTCGGACGATCTTCCTCACGAACAAGAAGGTGATGAAACCCATGGCGAACATCAAACTTGCTGAAAAATCGAGCACTCCCAATTGCATCCAGCAACTCATCAATCCGGGGGAGGGGATACACATCTTTGATCGTGATATCATTCAATTTTCGATAATCAATGCAAATGCGAATCCCTCCAGCCTTTTTAGATACGATCACTACAGGGAAAGACCATGAACCTATAGCGGGTTCGATCCATCCATTAGCTTCGAACTCCTTAATCCGCTGAAAAGCGGCAGCTCTTTGAGCTGGCGAGTATCGGTAGGGAGCGCAGCTAATGGGTGGATGATCTCCCGTGAGAATGGCATGCTCGATCACATTAGTTAACCCAATGTCGTTATCGTGTATGCTCAATACTTCTTCGTAGCCATGTAACACTCGAATTAACGATTTTCGAAGTTCCGCGGGAACGTGACCTGGCAAGGTGATTGTTGATTCCCCGAAAATCTTAAGGGGCATATCGATCCAATCAACCGGCCGTTCCCGTCGATCATGGATACTAGAAAAAACTGAACTACTGAAGCGAACAGAGAAGACAGTTGCTATCATCTGGGACTCAGTAGGGCTGATCATCTCTGTTTCTTTAGTTTCAGCGTCAGTTTCTGAACCAACCGAGGTCGGTTCCACAGTCAGCCCTGTTAGATCCGTCATTTCTTGCATCAGATTAGGTACATCATTTATCGGTGCTTCCGCCTCTTGTTTAATCAAGGCGATGGTGGCTCCTGTCGTTAGTAACGATCGGGGTGGAAAAACAGAAACGTCTACATAATGTTTCATTTGCTGATAACGCGTCCGTAAGGAGAGAGCTCCCTCGTACAAGGTGCGAGGGGGTTCCAAATCATCAGCCAGATCGGAAACTTGCAATATGGGTTCCCTGAGGAGGACTGAAGGACTGACTTGGGTTGTTAGAGGCATGAATGCACTGTCTTCGGAATCCACGTGGAAGCTTCGGGCGGTGTCGGGGCACACCTGAAATTCTTCGGGGGTTTCATGTTCGAAAAGTTCAACCAGATGCTTCCATTCTTCTTCGCTAGGCATCTCTTCTTCATGTTCTTGTTCCCTGATTTCATCCCCGAGGCGTGAGGGAGAGCATTCCTCGGGATCAATGTACTGGATCATCCCTATTTGGGCCGGGGTAGGGACCCGTTTCATCGTTCTGGTGGAAACTCGCAAAGAAACAGTTTGAGGTTTTCCTCCAGTTTGTGTGAGCACCAGTTGCTTCGAATCGAAATGCAGACGTGCACCTACCGCCATTGCCCAAGGTAATCCCAACAACACAGAATAGGAACGTACATCTATTACGAGCGCGTTAACAAGGACGTGTACTCGTCCAACTTTTACGGTCGCATTCTCGATAATGCCTACGATGTTCATTGCTTCCTCGTCGGCAGAGACATAATTGTCTTTGCCAGATTGAGGAAGAATGGATCCCAGTCGTCCCGTTTTTTTGACAGTATCCAATGATATGGCCACGGCAGAAGACCCTGTGTCAAGGGCATTAAACGGTTTGCCCCAAACTTCACAGTCACATTCCGCACTTTTCCACAATACCGGTCGAGCTCGTACGAAGTGATCTTTTTCTGCTAAAGAGATCGCTGCTATGTGTGTGGCTTCAGGTTCTGGCTCTTTCGTGTCAGGCTCAGGGGGTTCAACTTCCTCGCTTTCTTCTTTCTTCTTCAACATCCGTTGTATGCGTTGATAGGTGAAATGCTTTTGATTTTTATGGCAATGTTGTAGAAGTTTATCGTTCGCCACTTCAGATATGGTGAGCAAATGTCCCACTGGGATGGGCATGTGAATATCTAGTTGCTTGAGCGTTTTCAGTACATCAATGTCTCCTGTCCGGAATTGTGGTCCAGGATTGGATTCGCGATCGACCCACTCGAGATCATCCGGGACAGATCGGATTGCTCTGATCATGCCTGCAAGATGAAGGTATTCGAGTGGATCGACTGTGTCGGCAACGTCAGAGGAGGAAGCTCCTGATGTCGACGCCAGTGCCGTCAAAGGGGAAGGCTGCTCGGGGGCGTATGCCACGAGTTCTCTTCCTGGATCCGTATCCATCAGAGCGGCCACTCATCCTTGATTAAGGGCGACGGGGGCCGCAGCAGGGGGAGGCTGATTACGTTTCGGCTGCGGATAGTCCCGGGCAAAATGCTCGGGCTGTTTGCAGTTAAAGCATTCGATCTTCTCTGCTGGATGAGGGAACTGGGCCGCAAACCCTAGAGCAGGTGGGGCAGGTAAGAGTGGAAACGATGCAGGGGCGGGCCGAGCAG